ATCTCCTTCATCTGCTCCAGCGTCTGCTCGTCGGGCTTCTCCCGCTTCTCCGCGGGCCCCTGCGCGCCCCCCCGCGCCACTCCGCGCCCCTGCTCCTCCCCATCTTGTTCATCCTCCGCCTCCCTCTCCACCCGTTCCTGTCCCTCAACCCGTTCGATGGACATGTGTATGTGGATACATGTGTACATGTATACACATGTGTATATGTATATGTATATGTGTGTATATATAGATATGCTTATGCGCATGCGCAACTGTAGATACAAAGGGTGGGTATAAATGTACGTGTACGTGTAGGTGTGTGTGCATGTGTATGTGTATGTGTATGGCTGCTTGCGTCTGTATATGAATAGGAATACGTGCTGGAATATGTAAGTGTATAGGTGTATCCAGATGTATAGGTGTATGCATATTTATGTGCACATATATATATATATATGTATACATATATATATGTACATGTCTATGTATACGTACATGTATATATATATATATATATGCATGTGCATACGTGTATGTATATGTATGTGTATGTGTGTAGGTATACATGTCCATGCATATGACTATGTATATTTAAATGCATAGTTACATGTATATGTATAGGATGCTGTAGACGTAGAGGTAGACGTATGTGTATATGTATCTCTACATGAACATGTATACGTACATGTACACGTACATGTGTTTGTGCAGGTCTATGTATATGTACCTATACGACCACCCTTCGGGTAAGGGGGTTCGGGGGGGGGGGGAGGAACCAACGTCTCACTCGATCGGTCTCACTATCGATCTCACGATCGGTCTCGCTCGACCGATATCACCCGATCGATCTCACAGTCGATCTCACCCGATCGATTTCATTCGATCGATCTCACAATCGACCTGGCTATCGATCTCACAATCGATCTCACGTTCGATCTCAGTATCAATCTCAAACTCGATCTCACATTCGGTCTCACGATCTTTCTCACTATCGATACCACCATCGATCTCACAATCAACGTCATCATCATCAGCATCAACATCGTCGTCATCATCATCATGATCACCATCGGGACACCATCATCATCATCATCACCACCTCATCACCATCATCATCAGCATCATCATCACCATCATCATCATCGGGACACCATCATCGTCACCATCATCAACATCAACATCATCATCATCATCATCAGCATCATCATCATCATCATCATCGGGGCACCATCATCACCAGCATCATCGGAACACCACCATCATCAACATCTAATCATCATCATCATCATCATCATCATCATCATCATCATCATCATGAACAACATCATCAACATCACCATCATCGGGACACCATCACCATCACCAACAACATCATCATCAACATCATCATCGGGACACCATCATCATCGTCACCATCATCATCATCACCATCACCATCATCATCATCATCATCATCATCAACATCATCATCATCACCATCATCGGGCCACCATCATCAAAATCATCATCACCTCATCATCATCCTCAGCATCAGCATCGTCAGCATCATCGGGACACCATCATCGTCATCACCATCAACATCATCATCATCATCATCGGGACACAATCATCATCAAGAGCATCATCATCAACCTCATCATCATCATCGGGACACCATCATCATCATCATCATCTCATCTCATCATCGTCTCATCATCATCAACATCATCATCATCATCAACATCATCATCATCACCATCATCATTGGGACACCATCATCATCATCATCAGCAACATCATCATCATGATCATCATCACCATCACCATCACCATCATCTCATCATCATCGACATAATCATCATCATCATCATCATCATCATCATCATCATCATCATCATCATCATCATCATCATCATCATCATCATCATCATCATCATCATCATCGGGACACCGACGGGACACCGGCGGGACACTGGCGGGACACCGCGGGCCATTGGCCCCCGGAAAGGAGTCCTTTGGTCCGGCCGCGCCTCAGCCGCAGGCGGGACACCGGAGGGACACCGCGGGCCACCGGCCCCTGGAAAGGAATCATTTGGTCCGGCCGCGCCTCAGCCGGAGGAGATTTTCTTCTCGCCCGCCCACGCAGCTTCGCCTCGCCCGCACGCATGGCACGCACGAACACGAAACCGAAACCGATTTCCCGGTAGGGGGGCTCTCCGTTCCGCTTCGATCTCACCACCTCACCTCCGATAGGGTTGGCCTCCTCCGACGTAGTGGAGAGTCTCAAGGCTCATGCAGTTCTGACAATTTCGTCAAAGCTTTGCAAAGTTCGGACGGGCCTGGACCACGAACTGCCAGGAAGAACTGGGCCCTCATGGGGTGCGTAGCGTGGACCTCTGGCACGGGGACCCCGTCCAAAACGACCCGACGACGCCCCGCATGTTTCGTGAGAAGCGCCCAAGAGAGTCCAAGAGCGACCCGAGACGGCCCCATCACTGCACACGATGCCCCACTCAATCCAAGGGGCCGCTCAAAGACGGCCCAAGAGGCCTCCAACCAACACGCCCCGAAGACGGCCCAGGAGGCCCCCGAGAGGGCCCCCAGAGGGCCCAAGAGGGGCCCAAGACGACCCACGTGGCCCCTCATATAACCAAAGAGGGACCCAAGAGGGCCCAAAGAGGGGGAACTAGAACTGACATGTCGCGCCCTCCGCAGGTAGACAACCCCCGAGACCGCCAGCAGACCCACACGGGGCGAAGCCCCAGGAGGCTCCGCAGAGGCCCAAATCAAGCGCCAAGAGGCCACCAAGAGACCCAGAGACACTCCCAGAACCACCTCCAAGAGGCTTCCGAGTGGCCACTCGAGGGATCCCCTTGGGCATCCAAGAGAGGCCTCTCACCTACAACCCAGGCACGGTGGAGGGATGGGCCGAAGGCCACTGAATATGTTGTTGGCCTCCGACCTCTCCGATCTCCTCACCCACCTCCTCCTTCTCCTCCTCCTCCTCCTCCTCCTCCTCCCCCTCCGCCTCCTCACTTCCCTGCGGCCACCGCTAGACAATTACCCATGGGACAAAATGGTTGATCGCATGAGACCGTTTGTCGAGGACTAGGTCGTCGACAAAGCTGGGATTCGGAAGGATCAAATCACAAACAATGTTTATGCGTGATCGTAATTGCCGTACTTCCTCCTCAACTCACCCATGATCATCTGGGAAAGAATATAAACCGTGGACGACTGGTGGCAAATAGGTGGGGGGTGTAAATGGTTGTATGCTAATGTAGTGCAACGCTGTCAAAGCCTTATGTCGCGGTGACATGACTGACTGACTGACTGACTCGCTCGCTGACTGACAGACACACAGACTGATTTACCGACTGAGTGGTTGACTTTCTGGTCGCGCTGTATCTCACACGCCGAGTGCACAGCCTACTGCGCAACCACTAACAGCTCGTTTGATTCAATGCCAGCCGCCGTGTGCGCAACCGATGGCGCAACCAAGAGGAGGCTGATATATCTTCAGACGCCGAGAGGACAAGTTTTGCGCAATCCATAATCGCCCATTGTATTGGCGGCCGCCGTGTGCGCAGCTTATGGCGCAACCAATCGTAAGCTGTTTGATTTCCGGCCACTGTGTGCGCAACCTGTGGTCCAACCGATGTGCTTCACGCCTCCGAGAGCAAGAGTGTCCCATTGCGCTTCTGGCCGCCGTGCGCGCAACTCATGGCGCAATCAATGGCGACCCATGATAGATTCGCCCGCCGTGTGCGCAACCGATGGTGCAATCCATAGAACGCCAGTATGTTTCTGGCCGCAGGGAGCGCAAACAGCGGAGCAACAACAACTAGAAGGCCGTTGTAATTCTGGCCGCCAGTGGCACAAATCTTGGCTGAACCCATCACATACAGCTTAGTTTTCCGCCGCCGAGTGCGCACGCAGCCCACGGATAGCGCAACCGGTAGGAAGCACATGCACACCATCCGAGAGCGCAATCTGGGACCTCAATGGATAGCGCAACCCATGGCGCAATTCATGGATGGCGCAGACGATGTCGCAATCCCTGGGGGCACTACCCATGGCACACTCCATGGGGGAAGCGGCGCGCCCCCTTTCAGTTTCTACGCAGCTCCGCCCGATTTATGCTCGCCGTGTGGACTGGCGGTGGAGCCCACGCTGCACGCTGTCTTGTGATTACAAGACTCAGACGCGCTCGTGGCGCTTCGCTCCAGAGCTGCTCAAGACCTGGGCTGTGGTGAGGCTTCTTGGGGATGCCGTGTGCATGTAAAAGCTGTGCGTCGGGGTGGCCTCGGGCTGCCCTAAGGCCCTCCCCGGCTTTGCTCGGCCACGCCGAGGCCCACTTTCGGATGAGATGCGTGAAAAGCGAATATCACGTAGAATAACTCGGAGCGCCGGAGCGCTGACGCCTTCGACCCCTAGAGTGTCTTTCGGAAGTCACGGGGGCCGTCCTGGTGGCCATACAATTACCGATTGCATCCATGTCTTCGAGGAGGGCCAGCCCGACGACGAGGACACGAGAAAAGGTGCAGCAGTCGCAGCACTTCCACGAGCAGGGGGCCGCATCGCGAGGTCGGGGCGTAGAGGCCCGGGATGAAGAGAACGAGGCGGAAGACAGAGAAGAGATGGCGACAGGCTACACGCGCTCGGGCCTCACCTGACACCCTACCACTCCCACGAATACCTTCCCCTTGCGGTACGTAAATCGTTCTCTGTCCGTCGACTGTGCTCCATCGGCGGTGAGCGGGCGGTGGCCAGGGGTGTCCCACTGGTATCGATAGAAAGGTCGATGGTGAGATCGCTAGAACGGGATGGATAGTGAGGTCGGAAGTGAGACCGACAGTTAGGTTGATTATGACATTGGTTGTGAGATAGGAAGCAGGGACGATAGTGACATTACATCGCAGCGCAACATCGTCATCACGCGTGGTCGCTAACACGAGGGCGTCACCAGCAGCGTCATCATCACACCCATCGCATGTGTCAGCAGTTGGTTCGTTCCCCCCATCCCCCCAACCTCCTCATCGTCAGAAGGATGGTCGTATAGGTACCTGTTCCTCCTCTGACATTATTGATGGACGAAGAATGCACCAAGTAACAGAGAGCACGGAGACGCAAGCCTATGAGAACTGGTGTGCGCGCAGGCACCACACGCGGGAGAGGCGGCGGCACGTCCTGGACACGATCGGGGGGAGGCGAGACGAGCTCTCACAGTACTAAATGGTGTTGTTTAGTTCAAGGGCGGGGCGATGCAGTCAACCCGTATAATCGGGACGCACGATGAGGATGCAAGGGCCTTGGAAGGAAATGTCGACACGTTGCGAGCGGGGCGCGGCCAAGGATAAGCCGAAGGGGAAGGACGCAACTAACCCTCACTATGCGGGTTCACTGTAGTCCTCAGATTGTTAGACTGCGTTTGTGTTTGTGCGGACGGGGCGAGACGAGCAGGGGCGAGAATGGTGGAGGGATGGCGGGGAGCGGGAAGGGAGCAAGCGAGCCATCGTGAAGCGGGGCCTCGAAAACAAGAGCACCACGGAGGTTTGCTGTCTGAGCGGACGCAGCTACGACGCTCAACCAAAACCCTTCTCTGCGGAGGCGGTGCACGCGAGCTGGCGCGCGCGTCGGCGGCAGCGGAACCAGATATCTCGCGCCAGAAGCGATCCCCAGAGGAAGGCTGAGAGACGCACGCTTATTCAGTGTCTTGGCTGTGGCGAAAGGCATCCAGCCGTGGCTCTCACAGACAACGCTTTCCACCTGTCCCGAGAGCCTGGGGTTGCACCAGGCGAGCGCGCCGAGCGTGCAAGTCCCCTCTTCTCTGCCCCCGTTCTCGGAGGAAGAGGCGGAGCATGCATTGCTTATGATGGAGCATCCCCAAGAGACCCCCGTAAGGCCCCCAAGAAGGCCCAAAAGGCCCCCCGGACGCCCCCAAGAGCGCTCCAAACGGCTCCCGCGAGTCCCTCAAATGTATCCAAGAAGCCCGTGACCCAGGAATCATATCATCGCAAGCGCTCGTTCCTTCTGTGGGGTCGGCGGAACGTCCCAAACCACTTCAATAGAGATAAGACAACTGAATAGATATAAACATTCGACGGTCCGTGCGGTTTTCTGGGATCTGCGCTGGACCCCTCTCCCTGGCGCTCGGAGCGCGCCAGGGGCGGCGCTGGAGGCGCCGCCAGGGGGGTCCAGAGAAGATCAAGACATCCGCGCGGAACGTTGGGGAAATATATGTTTACGTAATTTGTCCTCTTCGGCAGACGGCCGCTTTCTGGTTATCATTCGGCTTTCCGGCGGCCGTTCGGGACAATCCGGGAACCCCTGGAACGCCGTCGGCGAGGCGCAGCTGCAGGACTGCATCCCGAGGCCGGAAGAACGCCGGGCACCCACGAGAACGCCCGAAAACCTCGAGCCTCGAACCTCGAAGATCTCCGTCTCCGCCTTCTTCCTCTCCTCAACCGCACTCCTCAACTGCCCCTGCCCCTGCCTCCTGCAAGCCACTATCCCTGCCCCCCCGCCCTCCTCACCCTCCCCCCCCCCCCCAGTGCTGCTCACCCCTCCTTGGCGGCGCACACAAAGAGGTAGGGGGGCGGGGAAGGCTTCTTTGAAGGAGACTACTTCTGAGACGGCTCCAGCCTTAAATTTATAGGTAAGGCCCGCACCTTCCAAGAGGCAGGGGTGCTACTGAGAAGCCTTCGCCCTTACCCTACCCCCTTGTGCGCGTGGCTGACCTCCTCACCGCCCCCCTCACCGCTCTCCTTGCTCTGTCCCCTCCACGCCCTCCACGCCCTCCACGCCCTCCACGCCCCTCCACGCCCTCCACGCCCTCCACGCCCCTCCACGCCCTCCACGCCCTCCACGCCCTCCACGCCCTCCGCCCCCCCCACCGCTCTCCTTGCTCTGTCCCCTCCGCCCCTCACGCCCTCCACGCCCCACACCCTCAAAGCAACCCTCCCCCATTCCATCCATCCCTCGAGGAGGACATCGCCCTGGCCCCGTCCGCGGGGCCAGCTCTCCATCGCGGGCAGATCTCCGTGCAGCGACCCGGAGCTGGGGCCTCCAGGGTCCCAGACTCAGAAGGAGCAGCCGCCAGTGCCTTGTCATCACGATGCGCGAGGCCTGTGCCCATTCCCAGAGATCCGATGTCGTGTGTTTGTTTCCATACGGGGTCCGCAGAAGTCTCGACCCATTATATTCCCCAAGACCGGTTGTTCATCCTGACTCGTTTTTTGAGGTCCCAGGGCCAGGCGAGGGCCCCTAAAGGCCAAAAACTTTGAAAAATCTCCGTCTTGATTTTCAATACGTTGGATCTCTGGGTTCACCTCCCATCCCCGTGCTCAGCCCCCGTCCCCTCCGTCGGGGAAGCCTCGCCGTCGGAATCGTCCGACGCCTCGGCGTCCATGCCCGTGTCCGGGGTCTCTAGCGACCCCTGCCCGTTGGCACCCTCCCCTGGGAGGATGCAATCCATCCACCGACGCCGTCCCCGGATTCCCAGGATCGGTGATTGTGCACTGCTGCTGGGCTGGCCAGGAGGGCGTACACCTCCAATCCGGGCCCAGGATCGGCGTGGATGCTTGGCTTGCGTCCCCGGTCGCCTTTGTTCACCCACTTCGCTATCAGCGCCTGCGCGCAGCGGGCCGCACAAGGGGCAGAGTACACAGGAGACGACGGAGGATGGCGCTGGAGATCAGAGAGGAAGAATGTAGAAACAGTTCGAGGAGGAGGTGACGGAAGGACGAGGATAACGCAACGGGCCCCGCCTCATGTTTGTCTAACGTCAGAAAGGAAAGGAGAGGATGTGGCCAAGGACGAGCGGGAGAACGGGGAGTAGGAGGAGAAGAGGAGGAGGAGGCGGAGGAGGGAGGGCAAGGCTGGCACAGACGTCAACCGACTTCAGCTGCACTTACAGTCGGGCCTAGGCCAGGACACCATCCTTCAAGAACATGAGACCCTCCGCGGGCCAAAGCACACAGAACATCGAAGGTTACCCTCCCCAAATATGCACAGTAACAGCCAACAAACACTAAGAACACTAGGGCACCCTCCCCGAATCGATCTCGATCTTATACTTCGGTCTGACCATATCCGCCACCGTGCCTCTGGAACAAGAGGAGTGGCCCAAGGCTCACGCAGCACTGAAAGGGCTGCAATGCTGTTGATACAAACCAGAACTGCAACGCTTTCAGAGCCCAGGGGCCGACCTGGGGTCCACCGGGGCCTGCTGGAATCGCTCGCGTCGGCGCACCCCGCTAAGTAGAGCCCCGAAACGACCCCACAGGGCTCCAAGAGGCCCCCACACAGGTCTAAGAGGGCCCCAAATCGCCCCAAGATCGCTCCAAGACGCTCGAAAAATGGCCTCGAGATGGCCCCAAAAGCCTCCAAGACGCAACAAGAGGCCTCCAATAGGCCTCCCAAGAAGACCGCAAGAGACAACACATTGATGTCCCATAAACTGTTGAAGGATTTTGGCTTTCTCGCATGTTCGGCTTTCCGACGCTCCAAGAAGGCCCAACAGGTCCCAAAGATTAGGTGTGCAAAGTCAGAGCGATGATTGAGTCATGTTTGTGTGCGTGCGTGTGTGGTTGTTGTGTTTTGTTGTGTTTTTTATATGTTCCGTCCGGTATGTGTTTGTGTTGTTTGTGCGTTGTTGTGTGTTTTGTTGTGTTGGTTTGTGCGTTGTTGTGCTTGTTGTGTTTCTTCCGCGGGGGGGATCTGCCGCGGTCGATCGCCCCGGGGGGGTTCGACTGTCGCCCCTGCGCGGATCGCCCCCGCCAAAGTTCCCCCCGAAAAGGGGGACCTTACGCGGGGGCTTTTCCCGTGGGCGCCCCCGCTCGCCTGGGAAGGTGTGGGGGGTCCTGGACCGCCCGGGGGGGTCCATGACGGGCCGACTCGCCGGGGGGGGTGTCGGTCCGAGCGGTGGAGTCGCCCAGGGGGGTCTCCGCCGCTCAGTTTCCGTACGAGTCGCCTGGGGAGGTCTCGTGCGGGAACGACCCTCACGAATCGCCCCCAGGGGGTTTCACGAGGGCGAGGTCGCCCAGGGAGCGCCTCAGAGGACAGCGCACGGCGCGAAGGATGTATGCGAATCTTTCGCGGGACTCTCGCGAATTTTTCGCGGGGGCCGGGACTCTCGTGAATTCTTCGCGGGAGGCGCAACGGTCTGGACAGTCGCGCAGGGGGAGGGCGTAGAAGAGAGGAGGGGAGGTCCGACACCAAAGCCTCGAGGACCACCTCCGGCGCCGAGCGAATGACGGACAACGGGGGCAAGAAGCGGCTAAGGATAGAAAAGGGGGGCGAATGATAGGAGCGGGACGGGAGCGCGAGCGGCGCACCGAGGAGCAGAAGCGGAGAGAAAGGGAGTTCTCCGGTTGAGCATACCAAGAAAAGAACGAGGTTGATGACTGATTTGAGGCTCTTACTTTGCACTGAAACAAGACGGCCTAAGGGTGCCCCAAGACGGCCCAAGCGGCGCCCAAGCCGGCCCGAAAGAGCCCCATGACTGCCCCGAAAGGGTCCCAATAGAGAGAACAACACGAACAGAAAACCCGAGTCGTCCGCCCCAAGAGGCCCCCAGGAGGCCCCAAGAAGCACCCAAGAGGCCCAAAAAGGCTCTGAAGAGGCCCCAAGGGGCCCCCAAGAGAGAGGCTCAAAAGAGACCCCGAAACAGCCCCAAACAGGCTTCAAAACTGCCTCCAAGAGGCCCCCGAGAGGCCCTCCACGAGATCCCAACGAACATCCAATAAGCTTTAATACCCACAACCCAGGCACGGTGGCGTGATGGGCCGAAGGCCATTAAAGATCCACCGCCCCCTGTTGGCTTGCCACAGGGGTGCCCGGCGTGCTAAACCGTTTCGGTTTTGGTTCATTTAGAACTCTACCTGGGGCTTCGGCCCGTGCCGGCCACCAGGAAGGGCGCGCAGAGATGCACAAAAGGTGGCTTCAAAGGTTTTTTCGCTTCCAGACGGCTCCAAGATGGCCTCCAAGATGGCCTCCAAGTTCGCCCAAGATGGTCCAAGATGGGTCCCAGAGGCCTCCAAAAGGCCTCCAAGACGGCTCGAGTGGCCTCGAAGAGGTCCTCCAGGGTTCTCAAGGACGGCCCGCAGAGGGCAAAATCATTGATTTCCCTGTGGGTTTTAAAAGATTTGGGCTGTTGCTCCTTTTCGGATTCCGACGGCCCAAGACTGCCCACAAGGCCATCAAGATCGCCCCAAGAGTGCCAAGAAGCCTCCAAGACGGCCCCAGGACGGCCCAAGAGGCCCCCAAGACGGCCCAAAGAAGGCCCCAAGACGGCCCAAGATGCGCACAAGAAGCCCCAGATGGCCTCCAAGTCTGCCAAGACGGCCTCCAAGACTGCCAAGATGGCCTCCAAGATGCCTCCAAGACGGCCAAGATGGCCTCCAAGACGGCCAAGATGGCCCCAAGATGCACCCAAGACGGCCCAAGATGGCCTTAAGGTGGCCTAAGACTGCCCAAAAGGCCCGCAAGAGGCCTCTAAGACGGCCCAAGAGTCCTCCAAGACGTCCTCCAGGAAGGCCCGACAGGGTTCATTCCTTTGGTTTTTGAAGGATGTTGGCTTTCGCTCCTTTTCAGCTCTCCGACGGCCCAAGACGACGGCCCCCAACATCGACCCAAGAGGCCTCCAAGATGGCCCCATGACAGCCCAAGAGGCCCCCAAGACGGCCCCAAGAAGGCCAAAAGACTGCCCAAGAGGTCCCCAAGACGGCCAAGATGGCCTCCAAGACGGCCAAGATGGCCTCCAAGACGGCCAAGATGGCCTCCACGATGCCTCCAAGACGGCCAAGAAGGCGCCCAAGAAGCCCCAGATGGCCTCCAAGATGCCTCCAATATGGCCGTCAAGACAACTAATATGGCCCGATGATGCACCAACCAAAGACGGCCCAAGATGGCCTCAAGATGGCCTGAGACGGCCCTATAGGCCCGCAAGCGGCCTCCAAGACGGCCCAAGAGCCCTCCAAGACGTCCTCCAGGAAGGCCCTTTCGGGCCAACATCATTGATTTCCATATGGTTTGTTATATCGGAGTTTGGCATGTTCTTCATTTCAGCTCTTCGACGGCCCAAGACGGCCCAAGAGGCCCCCAACATCGATCCAAGAGCGCCCAGGAGGCCTCCAAGATGGCCTGATGAGGCCCCAAGAGAGCCCCAAGAAGGCCCCAAGACGGCCCAAGAGGCCCCCCAGACGCCCAAGATCGCCTCTCAGACCAAGATGGCCTCCAAGATGCCTCCAATACGCCCAAGAAGGCCTCCAAGACAGCGAAGATGGCCCCAAGATGCACTCAAATGGCCCCAGATGGCCTGGAGACTACCTTCGACTGTCCAAAAGGCCCTCCTCCAGGAGGCCCGAACGCTCGGAAACCACCTGGTCCAATAGCTCGCCCGACTCCGTGTTCCCCGAAGGCTTTCGAAACCCACTCGGGGAACGCGTGGCCCGATAGCTTGGCCAAGCTCAAACCCAATTTTCGGCAACGCAGGCGCTACCAACAAGACAGGGGGCGGCGGTGATTCGCCGTAGGCGTCTTCGATACACCGACAGATCCCACGTGCAAGAGGGCCAGGACAGAGACGGCTGGCCAAACATTGGTCGGGCAGATCGGTCACACTGCGGACACACCATGGTTAGCAATAGAAAACCAGGGAGGGGACTTAAGTTAGGAGGGCCAACGACATTAGGGATAGGGGGCCTTTCCTGCACATGTATCAGACCAAACCGCCCATACGTAACATCCCGAATGCAAAGTTGAGGACCTAAGTGAGGCCACGTCTTCACTATAATATCAGGGTTAGGGGTTCTTACATCCTCGATGACACCAGACTGCCATCCAAGACAACACTGCGGCGGCGACGGCGGCGAAGGCGGCAGCGGCGGCGACGGCGACGGCGGCGGCGGCGGCGGCGGCGGCGGCCGCGACGGCGGCAGCGGCGGCGGCGGCGGCGACGGCGGGCCAGGCCCCGCGGCGGCGGGCCGCCTCTCGCCGCGCGCGGCTCTCGGCCAGCTTCCGCTCGACCTCGTCGTCGTCCTGCCCGAGGCTGCGCCGGCCGCCGCCGTCGCCGTGGCCGCGCTCGCGCCGTCGCTGAAACGAGGCCGGGTGCGGGACTAAACCGAGTCGGCACTCACCAGGGATCTCCGAGATCTGGCGGCTCTGAAGGATGCGCCGGGCGCCGCGGCCGAGAAAGAGCGCTCCGCTCTCCGAGCGTCCTGGAACGCTCTGGAGCGACGTCTCCCCTCCCTGGGCATGTCGGAGTCGCGCCATCGAGCATCGGTTCCTTTCGGAGCTGGATCCGCGCCGAGAATCTGGTCGGTGCCTGACCTGGGAGAGGCAGCCAGAGCAGCAGGGCAGGGGCAGGGGCAGTGGTGAGGAGTGGGTAAGAAGGGAGGAGTGTGCAGGAGGAGGAGGAGGAGTGCGCAGGAGGAGGAGGAGGAGGAGGACGACGGCGGTGAGGTCAAGGCAGGGGGCTTGAAGGAGACGGAGGAGAGGAGAAGGGGACTTGAGGGCGAGCGCGGAGGAGGACGCGGCGCCGAAGGAGCAAGGGGTACCAGAACCCAGGGGGTATTCATCCCACCATACCGCTGTGCAGCCGATCCCAAACCCATGTTACGAGAACGGTACTTATGCACCTCACCGTGTGTGGACTCCTTTCAGGCCTCGCTCCAACGCGGTACGATGCATATGTACCGTACCACTCCTGGGTCGAAGATCGACGACGCCTCGGGAGGCACCAACGCGGTACGGTGCGTACATGTCGTTCGCGGACAAGTACCGCACGTCTGGAACTACGGCAATTGCCTCAGCGCTTAGCGGCCGATATCCCCGCTGTTATAAACTCGGCCCTCAACCACAAGACAGAACATCGCCGCATACGGCTGGACCTAAAACAGAAGTACATCGAACTTGCGACCCTCCGCCGGCCAAACTGAAGAACATACGAAGGGACCCTCCCCCAGGATGCACAGAAACATCAAACAAGCACGGAAAGCAATAGCGCACGCTCCCAGAAAGGACCTCGATCTTATACCTCGGTTCGACCGTAAAACTCGGAGCCCAACCGCAAGACACAACATCGCCGCATACACAAGCATTGCACCGAGCGCGACCCACCGCGCGCAAAGATGAAGACTGGCATGGACAATCCCTGAAGGCATGGCGGGTGGGCGAGAGGTCCGCTCAGCGTGTTTCGTTCTCAACGGCCCACCGGTTTCGCCCCACGGAATCGCACCCCCATAACACAGTAAGATATAGCAACACAGAGCATACTGGTTCTACCACGGCTACCACGGTTGCAATGAGTACGCGATGGCATCATTACTATACTGCACAAGGGTATGAATATCATGGAGTACCACAGCATACTATACCATTATGTATTGAGCAGACCAGAGCATAACACTGCACACCAGGCACGAACAGACCGTAGCAGAACATACCATGACATAACACAACATCACCGCCCATACATTCGAAACGGGCCCAGCCGAGACGACGAGGTGGCAACAACTTCGAGATGGGAGGGAGACTATCGACTCCCCTCCTCCATCTCTAAGCTCCAGTTCCCCTCATCACAAAATCCCACTCCCCGTTCCCGTTCCTTCAGACCATCCCTGGGGGTGAAAACATGCGGCTTCAACTCCAAACTTGCCTGAGTTCCTCCCCCCATGTGGTCCGGCTCCATGACGATCCCGTCTAGAGGAGGATCATCTTCCTCAACAGCTTTGCCCTGGCGGCAGAAGGGACTGCCATAGAAAAGGCGAGAGGGCTGATTAGAAACGGTGGCGCATATAGATGAGAGGAGCGGTTCGTAGTGACACCAACGATGAAGACTTCAGCATCCTACACGCCCTGACCTTGCCACTGTTCAATGCATCATGGTGGCTGAAGGCAGAAGCCTAGTAAGGCATGATTGCTTGCTCGCTGCTAAGAGTGTGTGTATTGGTAGCCAGCGTGGACCAACAGCTATTCTAGCAACATATGGGTCGCAAGATATGTTGTGAAATCTACGCGGTGAATTTGACGATGTGCAATACATTTAGTACAATCGATGTGGCTAAAAGGTTGTTCGGCTGTAAAAAAGTACACACAGTCAAATAGACGTCACATGAAAAATATGTGGCGCGAATTCGATTGTGCGATACCTGCAGCGCAATGCATGTTATGAACGATCCAAAAGCGCGCCACATGCAATATAGGTGATGTAATACATGTGGGAGGCGATATACGTTGTGTAATATTGGTTCAATATGTGTTGTGCCAAACATGTTGTTCCATCTACGCGGCTGTGAGGAGCAATCTATGTTGTGCAATCTACGTGGTGCACTCCCTCTCTCTCTCGCCCTCTCTCTCTCTCTCGTATTCTCCCTCTCTCTATACATGTGTGGCGCCGCCCCTGTAGTTGTGACATATTTGCAGTGCCATCTAAGTGGTGCACTGTATTGTGCAGTCTATGTGATGCACTACATGTGGTTGCGCAACAGAATGCAGTATTTATATATATATATGGTTATTTCTACGTTGTGTCAAACATGTGGATTCTATGCTTACGCTATCAGAAAACCGCAGGCGCGAAATTTTTCAGCGCAGTCTACGTGATGCAATCCAACGGCGGCGACGGGGCGGCGACGAGGCGGCGACGGGGCGGCGACGGCCGGCACGGAGCCGCCATAATGGCCAACCAGCCCAGACGACCGGAATCGACGAGGCGGCGACGGGGCTGCGACGGCAGGCACGGAGCCGCCAGACCGGCCAACCGGCCTAGGCGACGGGCGGCGACGAGGCGGCGACGGGGCGGCGAGTAGAAAACGGGGCGGCGCCATCGTGCAAGGAGAGATACAACGGAAAGAAAGGGATAAAAGGTATGATGGCAATGGTGGCGGTAGGATCAGGATAAAGGCCATGTATCCTGCCCACTGCCGCATGTAGATGTGGCAGGCAGCGCCTACCGCGTCTGCAAATAGGGCGGCGCTGCCGTTGGCCAGAATCGCAGCGGTAGAACTAAAGTTTAACGCCCCCTCTGGGCGTTCCCTCAAAGTTGGCGACGGCCGGCACGATTAGGGAATACTCCAGCAAATTTGTCTGGTCACGTACAACGCCAGGCCGCAGTATCCGCGGAGAGAGTGAACATTGCGCGGCTAAAGGTTGGTTCAACGAACCAACCCGGTGCCCCTCATAGAAACGAGGTCCAGAAACAGTCGAGGAAAAACTAGGAACGTGACATCTCCTCTTCCTCTGCCTCTTCCTCCGCCTCCTCCTCCTTCTCCTCTTATTCCTCCTCCTCCTCCTCCTCCTCATCATCATCAGCAGCACAACCACCATTGTCGACGTCGTCGCCGCCACCATCCTCATAATAATAATCAAAACTATCATCATCAGCAGCAGCATCATCAGCACCACCATCATCATTATCATCATCAGCATCAGCAGCATCATTATCATCAGCATCATAATCAGTGTAAACATCATCCTCAGCAGCACCATAATCGTCATCAGCATCATCATCATCATCATCCGCATCTGCATCATCATAATCATCAGCAGCAGCATCAGCATCACCATAAGCATGATCATGATCAATATCATCATCAGTAACATCATCGATAGCATCGTCATCCTCATCAGCATCACCATCCGCATCATCATTATCCGCATCATCATCCTCCTGCTCCTCATCATCATCATCATCAGCATCCTCATCCTTTCATCAGCCTCATCCGCGTCATCATAAGCATCACCATCACCAAAGCCATCATCAATGTCAGCATCATTACTGGCAGCAACCGCATCAACATCATCATAAGCATCCTCACCAGCATCCCCATCATCATATCCCGATTAAGAATCATCGTCACCATCATCATCTTTTCATCGTCGTCATCACACTCACCTTCTGAATACTCATCACCACAAACGCCATCACCATCTCATCGCCCTCGATGTATCAACGTCCACGAATAGATTCGTGGGTATCATCCTCCTCATCATCGTGATCATCATCGTCATCATCATCATCATCATCATCATCATCATAATCAGCATCATCATCAGCAGTAGCATCATCATCACCGTCGTCATCATAATCATCCTCACCACCACCAGCATGTTCGTCATTATCCTAATCATCAAAGGCATCATCACCAGCATGAACACAAGCATCGTCATTATCAGCGTGGTCGTCATCATCGATAGCATCATCATCATCACCACCACTACCACCATCACCATCACGGCCACTGTCACCATCATCACCATCATCACCCTCATCATCATCATCATCATCATCATCATCATCATCATGACCATCATCAGCAGCAGCAGCATCATCATCATCATCAGCATCATCATCATCATCATCATCATCATCATCACCATCAACACAATACCCTCCTGGGATCGCCCCCGAGGCTGCCAGGAACCGCCCCAGAGGCCTCAAACCTGGCCCCAAGAGGGCCCGCAAAAGCGCGCGACCACCAGACCACTGCCAACATCCCCTCCAAGATGGACCCAAGACTTCCGAGAGGCCTCAAAGAGATCTCCAAGATAACCTCTGCAGGCCCTCACGAGCACAAGGCTACGTGCTGGAACGCTTTAGAAAGCTCTAAGACTCCTGAAGAAGGCTCTCGAGAGGCCCTGAAGAAACCCCCAAGAGGCCCCCTCAAACACCCGAAACGGCATCACAACGGTCACGGGCCCCTGTATCATTCGAAGCAACTAGGACTCAACAAGCGCGATACCACCGAACAATGCCCCAATCGAGTCGAAGGGATGCCACTTCCCATGGATCTCTGTCCCCGTCCCCTTCCCGCCTCTTGCATTCTTGCTGATTCCTGTCAGGGTCGGCGGAATCGGTCGCAAGGCCTCTGCAACATTGGCGCGCACGAACACAAACGCACGCACCAACTGGTCCCTGGACCCCTCCCAGAAACCAACCCTGACGGTCTTCCGAGCCGCGCACAACCGTGCCGACGAGAAAACCCACAGCGACGTCTTGAACCCTTGCCCCGGGGCCAGCTCCTCCCGAGCTTGTTCTCGGATCGCGACACGCAAGAGTGACCCTACAGTAGGGGCCCGACCACGAGAAACCTTCCACAAAAAACCCAACCCTGAGACGCCAGGGCGTCCACTCATTTTTGGTGTGGGAACGTCACGCTTTCCATAGCAAAACCATCGAACCCCAACAAAACCCAGGGCACCCTGGAGGCAAGCACCGTGCTTCTTGGCATGGGTCTCCCCTGTAGGCAAAAGGCGCTGCTTGCGGGGGGGGCCGCTGGAGGACCCAACGCGAGCACGCGAAAGACGCCACGATCGCATCGCGCACGGCAATCGGGGGGCCCCAATGGGCCAGCACTAAAAGGCAACTCCAGCGAAGGGCCACTCTTACGTCGCGTGGAGTCGATGTTCCCTGGTGGCCCCAGGCCTAGGAAAGGGCCCCGCCCCGGGCCCGGAAAGAGCCCCCCTGGGGCCAGTCGTCCCACAGGGCCCAGGAAGGGACCCCAGGGAGGGCCCCCGGATGCCAAAAAACATAATTTCTTTCCACGCACGCCCTGAAAAGGTGGGTTGGGATCCCGCCTCGAACATCTGGCCCAGCATCTCTCCCGGAGTGCGTGTTTGGGCCAGATTTTCGAGGCGGATCCAGCCGCGGCGACGAGGAAGCCCCAGGGAGTCCAAAGGGGGGTGGAGAGCGCACAGAAACCTCGAAGTTCGAGACGCCACATACCCCCGAACCTCGACCATCGAGGTCTCCGACTCGCCGATCGAAGGCGAAGGCGACCCCCAGGGGTCGGCGGCAGGGTTGGCACGCCAGGAATGGATGCGGAGAGAAGGAATACGAGTTACCCAACAGTGAATGTCCTCCAAAACCGACAGCGGACGCTTGTAGGGCAGGCAAACGCTCGCGGCGGCACCGACACCGGCAGCTGTTCAAAATTGATAGGAAAAGAACAAAACTGCTTAAACATGAACTGTTGGCGCTCCGCGCGGAATTCTTGGATCTGCGCTGGACCCCCTCCCTGGCGCGCGGAGCGCGCCGGGGGCGGCGCCGGACGCGCCGCCAGGGCGGCCTAGCGCGGACCCAAGAAATCCGCGCGGAGAGCCAACAGTTTAATCTTTTTTTTTCCTATACGACCACCCTGCGGGTGATAAGGAGGTGAGGGGGGAGGGGGAACCAACGTCTCACTCAATCGATCTCGCTATCGATCTCACAATCGATCTCACATTCGATCTCACTATCGATATCACTATCGATCTCGCTATCGATCTCGCTATCGATCTCACAATCGATCTCACAATCGATCTCACATTCGGTCTCACAATCGATCTCACTGTCGATCTCACTATCGATCTCGCAATCGATCTCACAATCGACGTCGTCATCATCATCATCATCATCATCATCATCATCATCATCATCACCATCATCATCATCATCATCATCGCCATCATCAACATATCGATCGCACAATCGATCTCACATTCGATCTCACTATCGATATCACTATCGATCTCGCTATCGATCTCACTATCGATCTCACAATCGATCTCACAATCGATCTCACATTCGGTCTCACATTCGGTCTCACTGTCGATCTTACTATCGATCTCACAATCGATCTCACAATCGACGTCATCATCATCATCACCATCATCATCATCATCATCATTTTCATCATCATCATCATCATCATCATCATCATCATCATCATCATCATCATCATCCATCATCATCAACAACATCAACATCATCATCATCATCATCATCATCATCATCATCATCATCATCATCATCATCATCATCATCCGTCATCATCATCACCATCATCATAATCATCGGGGACCATCACTATCGGGACACCGACGGGACACCGACGGGACACCGGCGGGACACCGCGCGCCACCGGCCGCCCGGAAGAGACACATTTGGTCCGGCCGCGCCTCAGCCACAGGGACACCGACGGGACACCAGCGGGACACCGGCGGGACACCGCGCGCCACCGGCCGCCCGGTGGAGAATCATTTGGTCCGGCCGCGCCTCAGCCACAGGAGACTTTCCTCTCGCCCGCCCACGCAGCTTCGCCTCGCCCGCACGCACGGCACGCACGAACACGAAACCGAAATCGATTTCCCGGTAGGGGGGCTCTCCGTTCCACTTCGATCTCACCCCCTCACCTCCGATGCAGTTTTTTCTTCTTCGCCGAAAGTCGTCGTCCCCATTAGCTCCGCACCCCTTCCTAACGTCTGTGCGTCCTATGATGGGGAGGACTCCACCTGGTTGAAAGGAGGCCAGAATCAGCTAAGATCTACTCCAATGGGGGGGAGGGGGAGGGGGGTGCGAAGGCCCCCGCCGATCGGCAAAACAATGAATAAAAAACCAATCCCCATTCGCTACGCAACCGGTCCTGTCGTGCCGACAGGAGGCGATGGGCTTGCCTTGTCCAGCTCGTCGCGCCAGGCCGCGCGCGGGGCGACGGCCACGGGCACCGACTCGCTCTTCGTCCTGCCGAGCACGGCCTCCTCCTGCTTGGCACCCTGCGCGCGCGCTCGGGGTCGAGCTCGAGGCTGCCAGGAGCGAGCGAGCGATCGAAGGATCGAGGATCGACGATCCAGGATCGACGGGTCGAACAAGATTCAAGGATCGAGGGATCAAGAGATCGAGGCTCAGGAGCTCGGCCTGCCGAGCACGGCAGATGAGGCTAGAACGTCCGTCCTCGATCTCCCCGAGCCTCAAAGATCGGTCTTTCAAATGCGAACCTCGACGCCCTCGAACCGCGATGCTCCAACCTCGACCCACGAGCCTGCCCGAGCACCTGGGCCATCCATCTCCTCGAGCCTCCGTCCCCGCCCGCCTCGAGCCTCGATCGCCTCGAACCTCGGCCTCCACGCACCTCGACCCCCTTCGAACTCCCTCGAACCCCACGCGGACCCCCCCATCGGACCACGCTCCGCTCGCGGGCGACGATCTCGATGACGAGGGCATGGAGGACTGTATCAGTGAACCTGTCGCCCTCTCCGGTGATGAAATGAACACCGCACCCCCGCTCCTTCGGGCGAGGGGGGGAGCGAGAGAGGGGGGCACCAGCTCCGGGGGGGGACGCGTCGAGCTGGCATCGGCGCTACATCGCGGCGAGTGGTCGGCGGGCAGGCCCCCGACAGCACAACCGCACGCTCCAGGGCGGAAAAACAGTGAGGAAAGCAGTGAATGGAGGCAGTGGGCGCCTGAAGGCTTCGAAGGTCTGAGCTGTGGAGGCACGTTGGCACCCCTCCCTGCGGCCGTCCTCGTTGGCCGAGGGAGCGTTCGGCTGTCGGGCCCCCCTCGGCGATGAACGGACGATTGGGCGTCGATGCGCTTCCCCCCAAGAGCCGAATCCCCCCCGACGTTGCGCCTGGCCTTTCGGGTCACACGTGGGCTTCCTGGCGGCCAGTCGGGACGACCTGGGCACCCTCGGAACGACCGTCGGCGAGGTCGCGGCTGCTGGAAATGCGTCCCCCGGGGTGGAAGACCGCCGAGAACCGAAGGACGTGTCCGCAATCCTGGGAGTTCGATCCTCCGAAAGCCTAAGCTCGGGGGCGTCCAAGAAGGGCGCGCCAGAGGGGGGTTCGCAAATCGTGGCCCGAGGCATGTTCGGTGGCAACTCGTAGGAGTCTCCCATACCATCTTGTCGGCTCTTGCGAATCGATGCTCATCGACGCTAAGTCGACGCTCATCGGCGCTAACCGACGCTAAATCGGCGCTACCCCGTCGATACCCAGACGCTAATCGACGCTAGTCGACGCTGAAGACAGCATTACGAGGGCACACAAAGCCCCCATGATTTGCTGCCGAAGGCATGTGTGTGTGGACGAGGGGGGGGGCCACGGGACGCATTGAAACAAGAAGAGGGGGGCGATGAGATCGGGGAGACATCATGGCCGCCGCCCAGATGTCCACGCCTCCTACGGTCAGGAACTTGTATACAGCGTGTCGCGGCGGCGGCCATGGCGACACGATGTGCCCTGCGAGCGGATAGCTTGTCGCTCCGCTCCAGGGGGCAAACGTGGACGCCTCGGAACCACGAATTGGATAGCGTGTGGCGCCGAAGCGGGGTGGGCCAGAACCGACGGCGCGACGCGCTGAGCCAACGTTCCTGACCACATCCACGTCCCCCTGGTCATCAACCCCCATTCTCAACCACGCGACGTCCTGCTATTTGCAATACGCGGTTCCTGGAAGTCCACACCCTTTCCACGGGACCAGTTTTTCATCCTGAGTCGTTGTTTGACGGTCCCGAAGCCCAGCAAGGGTCCCCGAAGATCGAAAACGTAGACAAAAACACCGTCCTGATTTTTCAGGACGCGAGCCTGGGCTGGCCGCCGCAAGCAGGCGTTGCCCCTTCGGGCGCCTGGTGGGGGATCTGCTGACCCGGGTGAATCTGGAATTAGGCCAATCAGCCGCGGCAGGATCCTGCAAGGTCCTGCCCCCTCCTGCGGGATCCTGCACCCAAGCCCGGGTCAGTGCACCCCTGGCTCTGCAGGATCCTGCAGGATCCGGCGTCCTGGCTGACCCCCGCTTGCACGGACCCCCGCCCCTGGAGCCCAAGCCGGGGGGGGAGCCCGGGCGCGGCCTGCTGCGGCTGCGCCTGCTTCGCTGGAGGCTCCCGCGCCGGCGGCGGCCTGCCACGTCCCCCGCGCGGCGGGCCCCCAGGAAGCTGCTCCCGCCCCGCGCTTGCCGGCGGCGTCGTCCTCCTTTGGACCCCCGACGGGCCCCCTCCCTTCCGCGGGTCCTCCACGGGCCCCTCCTCGTGCCTTCGCCGCCGCCTCCTCCTCCTCCCTCCTCCTCCTCCTCCTCCTCCTCCTCCTCCGAGTTCCGCCCCGTCTCGCTCACCTCATCGAGTCCCCCATTCTGCGGTGTCCTCCTCCGCTTGCCCCCGGTCACCGCCTCCTCCGCCTCGCCTCCGCCTCCTCCGTCCTGGTCGGCGAAGGGACTCCCCAGTTATACACGCCCCAGCGAGCGCTGGAGCGTCTCCACACCGAATTCCTCGGACGAACTCATTGGCTCCTCTGCAATGGAGGCCAGTCCAAAAGAAGCCCTCCACAAGAAACCCAACCCTGGAACCCCAGGACGTCCCTTGATTTTTGGTGTGGGAAGGTCACGCTTTCCATCGCAAAACCATCGAAACCAAGGGCACCCTGGAGGCAAGCAGGGTGTTTCTTGGCATGGGCCTCAACTGAATACACCGAGCCCCTCCGGATACCTCATCCTGTGTCAACCCAGGCTACACCCGCTCATTTGCACGAGACCTACCACCAGAAGGGCAACACGTTTCCAGCATCCGCCCAGCATTAACAATACCGCTGCAACGCCACGTCTACACCTTTCAGAGCCTCAAGTCGGCCAGCCGGCAGAGCGGCCTCCCAAGAACGGTACCGATGCCATGCGCAAGCATTGCCACGTATCCAGATCGAGGCGTGGACGCCCCTGCTGACCCCCCAGACATCCGGCGCTCCGATTTGTTCGATTCGTGGGCTCGCAGACCTCCCAGACTCCTTACCCAGGGCAAATGCTCCACCCCGAGCCGTTCTCCGACGGCCCCGAGGCCAAGCGGATGCAAGGCCCTTGGAAGGCCAGTGCGACACTCTGCGGGCGGGGTGCGGCCAGCGAGAGCAGCCAAGCATGGGCCGACGGGGAAGAATACACAATAATTATATCCCTGAACAATCGTTCCTCCTTGCTGTGCGGGTTGCCTGCACAAGAAACATGGCCGCCTCGCTCGTCTCGACGCGCCGGATGTCTGGGCCCCTGCCCCACTCTGGCGCACTGCCGCGCTCTCCGCCGCGTCGGCTCCGGGACCGTGCCGGGCGCTTGCGCGCGCGCGGGTCCTCGGCCGACGGGCTCTGCGCGGGGGGGGCCCAGCTCGTGCCGCCCGCTGCTGCCGTGTGCCGCTGCTAGGTGGTGCTGCCGTTGCAGACGCTGCCGCTGCTGCGGCCGCTGCCGCCAACGCCACGGCTGGGGGGCAACGACAGGGGGGACCTCGCATGGGGGTGGATGCATCGACCTGGAACCCGCGATACATCGCCGATAAATCGGCAACGAGCCCCCGATAGCGAACCTGCACCTTCCTGGATGGGGTGGGGCTATCAAAACCCATATCGGCGATCAATGGGCGATCAGGGGTCGATGCATCCCTTCTATTCCTATCCCCCCGATCGTTGCCCCTGAGGAGCTGGACCAGCCAGAACTGAAAAAGGGGCGGAATCTGCCCGCATGATGGGCGCGCTGCGCTTCACACTGCTGACAAGATACGTGATGTCATTCGGACTTGAGACATACGAACATCCTTCAAGACCATGAGGCCCTCCGCTGGCCAAAATGACGTGCCCTCGAAAGTACCATCCCCCACGATGCACGAGGCCATCCAACAATTTGTTCCGTCGGCGGCGAAGCCGAGAAGCTGCCCCAGCCGGTGGCAACTCGGGGCAACTGAATCGCCGGCGTGCACAAGGGGGGACGCAGGACAAGGGAGGCCGCGCAGAGGACTGGAGATGGAGAAGAACCGCTCAGACGTGGAAGATTTTCGCGACGAGTGGGCTGGTGCGGCCAACATCCAACAAACTCAAAAAATAGTAGCAAGGAACCGAAAAAATACACAATGGAAAAAAAAAACGCTGAGGTCCGCGCGGATTTCTTGGATCTGCGCTGGGCCCCCGTTCCCTGGCGCGTGGAACGCGCCAAGGGCGGCGCCGGAGGCGCTGCCGGGGGGGGGGGGGGGGGGGGGGCAGCGCAGATCCAAAAAGACCGCGCGGAGCGCCAAACAATTATGTTTATGGCGTTCATTCTCGAAGTAGGGCGCCCTCGACCCGACGCCTCGGCCCGACTGCATCTGCCTCCCTCGTTCGCGCCGCTCCGAAGCGACTGCCACCGGCGCGCTGCCAGCCCGCGCGGACTGTCCGCACGCTGATGCTCCACCTTCCGGCCCGCCCTGAGCCCTTCCGCCGGTGGAGGGGGGGGAGGAGGAGGAAGAGGAGGAGGAGGAGGAGGAGGAGGAGGAGGAGGAGGAGGAGGAGGAGGAAAAGGAGGAGGAAAAGGAGGAGAAGAGAAGAAGGAGGAGGAGGAGCGCGAGTCGAGGAGGAGGAGGAGGAGGAGGAAAAAGGAAAGGAGGAGGAGGGGTAGGAGGAGGAGGGGGGGGAGGAGGAGGAGGAGGAGGAGGAGGAGGAGGAGGAGGAGGAGGAGGAGGAGGAGGACCAAGACCAAAACCAACAAACGCTGGGGACTGCACGTCAAACGGGGAAAAACAATACTGGATGCCTCGATCGAAGCTCGGATACATAGTCCCTGCGTGGGCCACACCTTCTGAATCCGAACGTTGATGGGGGGCCCTCAGCTGCAGGGAGCGGCCCCCGCTGGCCCCGAAGGCGGGGCCGAAAGCAGGGAAGGCCGTGCGGGCTGCCTGCGGGCACCAGCCGACACAAAACCAATCACCTACGACTCGTATTGCGCTGCCACCGCACAGGCTGAGATCGGGGGCGGGGGCGGGCCTCCTTGGGCCGCTCAGTCCTGCCCTCCCCCCTCTCCTCGGCGGCAGCAGCGATCCTTCTCCTCTCCCCGTCGCCCAGCCCCCCCCCCCCCCCCGCCCCCGCCACAAAACTATTCTCTCCCACTCCCACGCGGATGTCCTGAACAGCGCCTCTTCGGACGAGCTCTCGAAGCCGCGCGCTGCTCTGACGGGCAGCTGGGGGGGCAAGAGGGTCGAGCACACAAACCTCGGGAAGAGGCGGGGCGTCGAGGGATCGAGGGCGAGGGTGAAACGGAGAGAAGCGGGGGCAGGGGAAATCACAAGAGCCTCATAAGCCTTTGAATTCACTGGACACGCATCTGGATGCACACGTTCTGACCAATCGAATGCCTTGAGTCTACCGAGTTCAACATTCACACCTGAACTACATACATCAGACTCTTGCCGCCCACTCACATCATGAGAAGAGAGACCCCTAGATCCGCGCGTCGGCAAATCTGGCACTTCAAAGATGACATCGCCTTGGGAGCTCGGAGGCCACAACACCGATGTCCGATCTTCGAACTGAGGAGATCCTCGGGCAGGCTGGACACGACCCGCAGAGTCATGCACATCAGCAGCCCCTGCGTCTGCCACGAGTGGCGAGGAATACATGCTTGAGGGCCCGTCGAATGGTTGGCAACCCCTGCCAACGCAATTGGCAACCGCACCCCCATCACTGCCTGCGGCAAGATCAGCAACCTCACCTCTTCTCACTGTCTGCAACAATATCCTGGCTACGGCCGCTCTCCTCACTGGCTCCTGCCCAGCAGAGTTGTGATCTGGCGCTCGAGCGGGCCCCTGGGAGCTGCCCCGACCAGACGGCGCGAGCCGATCTCATTCAGGATCTCTGACAATATCAATAGAAGAGCGGAGCCCGCTGGGTGGTGACCCTGTGCGCGAGCCTGGAACTTCGCGCTGTTCTTCATCTTCGCGCGGCGGTCGCCCCGTGATGCTTTGATCGAGAAGGGGAGTCGGCCACGTGCTCGGCGATGTCGCTGGCGGGTCTGCCCCGGGCGTGCGCATTCCAAAACTCCACCACGGGGCCGACTCCGCCGCCGTCTCCTTTGGTCAAGGCAGCCTTGACCGCGGCGCTCATGGCCATGCTTTATACTGTGATGTACGGCAGGCCCACGGTTCCCAAGTCGATGGGGGAGGGGGGGGGGTCGTCCTTCTCGCGGCACTCGGCGCCCTGCACCGCCCCGAACGCACCGCGAAGTTGGCGTCGGGAGTGAGGCGCGCGGTCCTGACGTCCTTCTCGAGCTCCGCGAGGTCCCTGGCGTTCGCGAGGGCCAGACGGGCGACGGCATCGATGAGCTCGTCCAACCCGTTGCTCCGACCGCCCGCCACGGGGGCCTCGGCCCCGCCAACGTTGGCGATCTTCGCCGCCTGGCCGGCCTCGTCGCTTGATGCAGGCAACTTTGCCCTGCGCGCTGCCAGAGCCCGCGTCGGGCGACCCCCTGCAAGGAATCATTCGCCCCCCGCTCCATCGCGACGCTCTCGTTCGGATTATCGGGCATTCTCGCGCCGAAATGACCGCGCACGAAGCCGAAGAGGAAGGCGGGGGCAGACGTGGATGCTGCGCGCCTCCAAGGATGCACAGCTCGAGCCACGCAGGGCGCAACAGAGATGATCGGGGACGCGAGAGGGCGAAGTGCGGAGGCCTGCTCGGCCAAACAGCAACCGCGCTGGCCCCGTGCAAGCGCTCACTGATTACTAATGGCGAGAACCTGGGAGAGTTTGAGGGCCCCGCGCACCTGTCGAAGGCGATTGATTAGTCGCTTGCGAGTGGCGAGCGCGGCCCCACAGGGCCCCTCTTCCGACTGCCGCGGATGCGAAAAGAAATGTTGAGAGCGCCATCCTCGAGCTCCTGCGGGCCCTCGAAACAGAATTCTAAACCTGGCCGGGCGATCTCGATCTCGAAATGACGACGCCGAAGCGCCCCCGCGCCAAGTCGAGTGACATCCTGGCCGATCTCGAAAGTGAATAGCTGCAGAAGGGCCCCCCCGCTTTGGCCCAGCACGGCCGCATCCTCGCTCCACAGGCCAAGCTCCACCACCTCATCATGAAACTGCTTCGCCCATCATCCAAGAAGGCCCATCATCCAAGAAGGCCCCCTCCACCTCATACGGTAGGGCACCGAAGACCGCCGTGCTCATTTGCTTGCGAGACCCAGGCCGTCGCGCGCCAACACGAAGCCATCAGAGCCGTCAAACTCGCAACTCGGTCGCGATGGGTAAGGCGCGAGCCGCCGCCGCCTCAACCTCCTCTGTCTTCAGACGCCTCCCCCTGCCGCCCGCCTCCCCCCAGCGAGGCCCCCCCCCTCCTTCGCGCGACGGGCCAGCCCAGCAATGGCCAACTCCAGGGCGCGGATCTGCGATGCAGTCGGGACAAACGCCGCCGCCCCTCAGCATTGAGAACATGACATGAGAGAACGTATCGCGCACATCTGTGAGGGGCGTCTTTTTGAAACCAGAAGTGTCCAAGTCGAAGAAAGGCTGTCTTCATGGGGCGCGCTCTGCGAACCAATTCTGCACTGAAAGTCCGAGCCGGCGTTGCACATGGACCAGGGGCATCTCACTTCATCTGAAACCTTGCTGCCCAGCGAGCGGAGAGAGGCAGCGGAGCGGCGACGATTTCTAGACGGCACCTGCAACAAGGCCTCTTTCTTGCCGATATTCCGGCGAAGACCGATTCGGCGTAATCCTTCATCCAGCACCCGATCGCTACTCCGCATGAAATCCCCGGAACGGTCGATCCTAGAGGCCCCGTGGTGATTTGTTCGAGTAAGTCGTCAGCGAACTTCTGGGGCCCCGAGTAGACCTTATGAGAACCTGGCAGGATGTCCTCTGGGACGGTGGCCCAGAAGTTTCCCCCCTCCTCCTCGTGCTCCTGGAACCTCTCAACCCACTTTGCACTGGCTTGTTTCTTATTTTGGGAAAAAAATCGGACGAATGAGCGCGCGGCACAGGGGCCCCCCTGAAGACTTCCACACCCGGGTCGCAGGAGGAAGGCCCTGTCCGAAGCAGGAAGAACACATCCCGAGCTCGGTGCCGTCGCTTACAAAGCGGAACATCTCGGGGTTCAACCAGGGCCCTGCAGGCCGCATCCAGGCTGGACGGAGAAGAGGCAGAAGCGTTAGAGTCGCACCATGCAGAGCCAACAGCCGTAAGACGCCACGAAATACACGCGTCGCTAATTATTGCGTCCCCCCGCCTTTAGGGCCCACCCTCATGAGCCCCTCGAAGAAGCCCTTGCTCAGAGGGCCAAGTCCATGAACCACGCGTTTCCCCGTCGGCCCATGGACGGCTGACTTGGGGATAGCGA